AACGTGCTGCTCTTGCACAGATCTCAGGTTCAATACTTAGCACCCACATGGTGCATGTACATACATGCTGGCAGAACACTCAAAGACATGAAATAAAAAGAAATGATTTTTTGAAAATGTTTAGAAAGTATACATTTTGAGAAATATTGCAAGCCCAGAGCAAAACCAAAAGGAGATGTGTTTTTCTTTTATGGTTGAAGAAGAGATAAAGGCTTGGATGTGCACTGAAAACTAGAAGTTGTGGCAGAGACTCTTAGTAGTATACTAAGTCTGTATTTCTTTTCTTCCATCATTATGACTTTGCTCAGTGTATTTCCTAGCAGACCTAGCAGTTAAATAGAATCAATTAGACCTTCACTAATGGATAAAGACAACATGTCATGGGTGAGTCTGGACATTATGACTCTACCTTTGTAGTTTTTCTTGATTTTTTGATACCTTGTCACAATGTGTGGGACATTTTGAATTGAATCCAGTTGAAGTGGTAAGTCACCATAGGCCATGCAGATGATGCTAATTCCCTAGAGGACAGCAGTATAACAATAGCAAGGAAACTTGGACATCCACGCAGAGGAGAGCCTCGATATTAACTTCAACTTTATTTATTGGGTCAATCAATGCTGGATATGATGGTTAATGTTGATTATCTGCTTGACAGAATCTAGAACTTCCCAGAAGTCAGACATCAGGGATGCCTTAGAGTTTCTGGATTAGGCTAGCTTCTCGTTATGCCTATTGGGGAATTATCGAGATTAGGATAGTTGAGGTAAGAAGGCCCACCTTAACACTATACCCTCGCCTGAGATTCTAGACTGGGAGAAAAGACAATGAGCTGAAAATCAGCATTCATTCCCTCTGCCTCCTAACTGCAGACACAATATAAACAATTGCTTCAAGCTCCTGCCACCATGCCCTCCTAGCCACGATGGACTATACCCTCAAACTGTAAGCCAAAATGAACTCTTCCTCCTTTAAGCTCTTTTTGTCAGATATTCTGCCACAGCAACAAGAAAAATAGCTAATATATTGGTACAGAGAATTAAAATTCTGTATTATTGGATCTCTGTGTTATCACAACCTAACCTATACACTTCGTTACAATACAGAGAGATTTCTTGGGAAGCAAAAGATGAGTCGTGTAAAGATTTATGATTCATTGTGTATCCTGTTGTGATATTTGAAAATTAAAGAACCATTTGTAAGCACTAGCATATATGCTTTTAAATTAGTAATAAAATCAGAGCAATGACAACTTTTAATCAAGAAATGTCAAGTCTAAGTTTCTCATACTGGAAACTTGAATGAGGAATCAATGAGTCTCAGAAACATCTTCATTAAGCACCGAATTCACACTCTTCACTTCCTAAGTACATTTCATAAGGAGAAAATAAAACTGCTTGTCACTTTCCTTAACTGTTGGTTCTGTCAACGGACTTCTTCCAAAGAGCATATGCTTCATAGAGAGTCTTCCTGACTTCCTGCATTGGTTACATTTCTCATCTCTGTGAACAAAAGCCCACCAAGAAGTAACTGAAGGGAAGAAGGATTTACCGTGGTCCATGGTTTGAGGCAATAACAGTCTGTCTTGGTGGGGGAAGACATGGCAGTTCGAGGGATCTCAGCTGGGGCATGAGGCAGCTAGTTACCCCATGTTAGTAGTCAGGAAGCGGAGAACCCGAGCTGGAACTGTGTCAGACTATAAGCCATAAGCCCTACCTCCACAATTCTATGTTTATTATCTGGGCCTCATGTCCAGAAGGTTCCACAACTTCCTAAAATAGCACCACAAGCTGGGGACCAACTGTTCAAACACATGGGTCTGTGCGGGACATTTCCCATTCAAATATAACAGTAACACTACTGAAACAGTGTCTACTTAATTTTTTTTATCAAAACTATTAGGGACTGGAAGAAAAGCCTTTTATCAGTCATGAAGTTAATGTTGTGACTACAGGGATATTATGGACTGACTGCTTGTGCTAATTTGACTTCTGTTGAAAGCCTAACGCTGCTAGTAAGGTTACTAGGAGTGAAGCCTTTGGAAAGTAACTAGGTAGTGAAGCCCTTGGCAACGAGAATAGGGCTATTGTGTAAGGCACACCCAGAGAGCTCTCTCACATGTTTTTACCATGTGAATAAGCAGGCAGCAACACAGAAAAGAACCCTAACCAGAAACCAGTCATGCTGGTGCCCTCCTCTCACATTTGAAATCTGCACAGCCAATGGAATCCAATTTCAGTTATCCGGAAGCCAATCAGTCTGTGGTACTTTGTATCACAAGACCGCAGCCCAAATCAACCAAGACAAGAAACAATCTCTAACTGCCCTGTCACTCTTTTGTGTCAGTTTGGTAGAATGATTTTGTATTTTGTCCTCATGCCTCACTTGTTCCCAACTTATCCTGGTCACAAAACAGGTTCAATGTGACAAAATTAAATTGTCTTTGACCAACTTGTTCTAATTTCTATTTTGTCCGTATTAAATAATATTAGAACATACCATTTTGGTAAAGTCCTTAGAAATGCATATTTTAAAATATCCCATCTTGCAACGTTAACGAAAGCTGTACTTAACAATGGTAATACAAACTGTGCTTAAGGAAAGATGATGCTTTGAAGGGTTTTCTTCTTTACATTTAAAGGGATTCTCCCCCTTTCTGGGTAGTTGCACGTGGTCATGTATGTGAGTTTATTTGGAGACAACTTGGGTGTTGTTTTTCTCAGGTATCATCTACCCTGGCATTTGGAGGTAGGATCACTCACTGAGATCTAGGTCTCCCCTGATTGTGATAGGCTGGCTGGCCATAAAGCCCTCTTTCCACTACCACCACCTCCCGCCCTGGGATTATAAGTACATTCTACCACACCTGGTCTTTTCTTTCTCTCTTTCTTTTCTTTCTTTCTTTCTTTCTTTCTTTCTTTCTTTCTTTCTTTCTTTCTTTCTTTCTTTCTTTCTTCCTTTCTTCCTTCCTTCCTTCCTTCCTTCCTTCCTTCCTTCCTTCCTTCCTTTCTTTCTTTCTTTCTTTCTTTCTTTCTTTCTTTCTTTCTTTCTTTCTTTCTTTTTTAACTAGTGTCATGAGAACTCCTCTGAGTCCTCATGTGGCAAGCACTTTACCAAGGGAGCTATCTTTTCAGACCTTATGTTCTTATATTTGCATAATCTCTAGTTGTTTTCATATAAATTTCATGAGATGCTTCACGATGATAAAAGACAGAGGATGCTATAGGCTGACCAAAAGAAGCAAGAGGCTTTTAGATGTAGTGAGAAGTGTCAAGCTTGTTCTGTTCAGGAGAATTAGTAAAAGAAACCAATAGACACTTGGAATTTTCTCTTCTGAGACTAAAATAAGATTGAATTAATTTCTCTATAATAATTATCTAATTATGAAAGCTGCTTCCCTTTTGATTTTTTCCCGAAATTTTTCAAAAAAGAAATCTCAACAATAATCAATACAGATGACAACTTTTATATTACAATTCTGTTTTCCTATTATAGATTCATCACACATTTGTCTTTTTTTATGGTTTTTCGAGACAGGGTTTCTCTGTGTAGCTTTGCGCCTTTCCTGGATCTCGGTCTGTAGACCAGGCTGGCCTCGAACTCACAGAGATCCGCCTGGCTCTGCCTCCCGAGTGCTGGGATTAAAGGTGTGTGCCACCACCGCCTGGCCACATTTGTCATTTAAAAATGAAGAATTTTTAATCATTCATTTTAAGATTCCAATGGGAATTAACAAATACTCCAAAAGCTTTTCATTTAAATGGATGCCTTTAAAAATGGTTCAGAAATAAAAGGAATTTGAAAACTATCCCTTTCAGTTTTTAAGTAACATCAAACCTTAAAAGTACATATTGTAGGCAGTGTCTGTAAATCGAAGTGGGTTATGTGAGAGGGTTTGGAGAGAGGGAAGAGAAGGAGGAAATGATGTAATTATATTATAATCTCAAAAAATATTTTAAGAAGTCATTGTAAAAGAAGGATCAATGCAATCACAATGTAATATAACCCCATATCCATGCCTATATCAGCAATTTCACTAGCATCTTAATGTCAAGTTACAGTAGCAAATATTCTTAGGGATTGAAAAGTAGCTATAATAGGCTGCCTGATAAGATTGCCCATGTGATCTAACCCTCTGGTATTGATGATCTGTGATAAAGATGGCAGGCTATCCCTGAATTTCTGTCCAAGGAAATGGTTAATGACTGACTTAGACAATCGCTTATCTTGGTCAAACTATTTTCTCTTAGCTGAGGTGCTCCTAGCTCTGTTATCCTGGTTTTCAACAGTTTTCCCTGGGACCCGAGGTACTTGTTGCCTGGAGCTGGTAGGATCTGTGGTTGACTTTGATAAAGTAGAATACTGCTGCAGTGGTGGGCTCTCATTTGCCCGATTAGCTTCCAAAAGAGTGGCTCTTGTTATAGACCTTTGTGTCCCCTCTTCTTGACTTTGATGAAGCAATCTGCCTTGGGAGAAAAACCAACATAGCAGGCAGCTGAGAGCAGTCTTTGATTAACATACAGGAGAAAGTGAATCTTGAGGATAATTGCATGGATGTGAGCTTGGGAGTGGATCTCAGAGTGAAGTCTCTGAGAGAGACCCATGCATTCTTAGTTACTCTCATGCCCACCGTTTCCTCTCTCCCTCCCACTGCTGCGGACCTACCCACTTCCTTACAAGACCTTTCTTATGCTCAGTACTTTTGTGTAGGCCCACTGTAGGTAACCATAGTTGCTATGAGATCATGATTACAGAGGCTGTGTCAATCCCAGAAGATAGCATTTTCAGCCCTTCTCCATCATACATTCTTTCTGCCCCTTCTTCCACAAAGTTACCTGAGCTCTAGAGGAGCTGGTACAAGTGTCCTGTTTAGGGCTGAGCACACAATTGTCACTTTTTGTCAGCACCTCCAGAAGCCATGTGTCCCTGCATTTATCACAGTTCATTGCAAAGAGAAGCTGTGTGGTTTTATGATGGTATGGAGTCATGACTTCCCAGCATTAGTATTGCCTAATGGAATCAATGTACAAATTGTTATACCGCGAATCATTTTCAGTCAAGACTACATTTTTTAGACTTTGCCAAAACAAGTTTTCTGCTTTGGGGTTGTCAGGCCACTGAAGAATGGAGCTCTTACAAATTTTCCTCCGCAGCCTCAGGTACTGTGAGTACTGTAACACAGGTTCTAGGAGAATGAAGATAATCACATCCATGTTCTCATCCATCAGTCTTTGCAAGGCCAAGTAGAAAGCTGTTTTAAAGTTCCAGCTCTTGGCATATTTTTTGGTTAAAACAAAGATCGTTTTCTTGCTCTGGTTTATGCTCTGCATGAGGTTATCGATAATGGCTAATCCTGGATCCCAATCCCTCTCCTCTAAGCAAAGGAGGACGTTTTTGTCTTCACTCTCTTCAAGATGATAACGAAGCTCATTGATTACCCAGTCAGTAACAGACACATCTTTGGTGTCATAAGAAATGTAAGCATCATAGAAAGTTCGGGATGTGGCCAAAGACCTGTAGCCTCTTAGCTTCGCTGAACACATGTGATAGATAAACCAAACATCCCAGTAAAACAGACGATGAACCAAGGCAGTCAACATAACCATAGAGGTGATAAGGAATGTGAGGGAAAACAGGATTGCTGCAGTGGTATCTGAAAGACAAGTCATGAGCTCTAGACTCATGATACTCTTCCCTTTTTGATCCCCAGGACTGGAACAAATAACATCTACCAGTCTAGGAATTGTGGTATGCACATTTTCATCATCTATCCAGATTCGAAAATCACTTATGTCACATGTGCAGTCAAAATGGTTCCCACTTAGTTCTAGAACAGACAAGTTTGTTTTAGTCTTAGTTTGCAGGGAGGACTTATTGATCATCTTTATCATGTTGAAACTTAGATCCAGGTGCACCAGACTACTGGCTTCAGCGAGGAAGCCAGAGGGCAGGTGAGAGAACTTATTGTTACTCAGCAGCAGTGTCTGCAGGGAATGTGTAAACTTAGATAGGCAATTGCTTAGAAAATACAGCTTGTTTCTCCGCAAGTCCAGCAAATAGAGCTGAGGAAAATGCTGGAGTGATGTCCAGTTAAAGAAACGTAGCTTGTTACCATTGATACGTAACTCTTTGAGGCTCTGGGGCAAGCTGAGGAATGCTTCATTTGGGATTTGTTGAAGGTTATTGTAAGATAAGTCCAGGTGTGTCAGATTGTGGAGATTTCTGAAAATGGTCCAGTAGCTGTTATCATCTGCATTCCACAAAAGGTCAAGGCGGTTTCCGCTAAAAACCAATTCATTCAGGGACATGCTTTTCAGCTCTTTGTCCTCTGTGAGGGTGTAAATGCCATTGTAGCTCAGGTTTAACACCTTGAGGCTTATTAAGTTCTGGATAAATCCTAGACGGTGTGTTACCCCTGCAATACTGAAATAGTGTGCATTGTGACTCAGGTCAAGCACTTCTAGGTTGTGAAGTTCACTGAAAGCCTTGTTATCATCAAAGTCTAATCTGTTGTTGGATAAATCCAAATATTTGATGTGGGGCATGGCTGAGAATTCTGTGCCATTCAACACTTGATTGTTGGCATTGAAGGACAGATTTAAGCAGGCAATGTCCTGAAAACCTTCAAACTGATTTTTCCCAATAAAGAAAATATTGTTCAAACTTAAATCCAAGGCCTTTCCATAATTAGTACACTGCTTTTTTATTAAAGGTTTGGTGCTATGATAAAAATTCGAGTGTGGATCAAACTCAGGGACTGTTGAGCGAGGTTTAAGAATATGATTTGGCAAAGAGATGCTGTTTGTACAATCTGCTGGAGGTGATATACGGTTTCCTGACAAGTAAATAACTTTCAGGTTGCGAAAATCTTGGAAAACTTTAAAATCAATTTTTGTAATAAAGTTAATGCCCAAGTTGATAGTCGTTAAGTTTGGAAGACTCTGGAGGGGCTTGAAATGTTCCCGTTTAAGTTCTCGGAACACAAAGCCCTTTAAGTGCAATTTCTTGAGAGAATGAAGCATAGAGAAGTTTGGGGAAATAGTAATAGACTGTAAATGTTTTTCATGTTGAAAGTTGAAAGACAGATCAAGGATTTGTAAACTGGGTAGTTTTGTTAAGAATTCCCCTGAGGCAATTTCTTGCACTAAATAGTTGAATTCAAGATAGAGTTCCTTCAGATTTGTCAGATTGTCGAACCAGGTGGAAGGAATCGACTGGAGGGAAGTGCTGGAGAGGTTTAGATAGCGAAGTTGGGTGAGACTTCGAAAAGCAAGACGATGTATGTTGAGGGACGAGTTTATCCTGCAAGGTGTACAATTAAATGGGGCATTGAAACACATCGGACAGTTTCCACTCAAATCTAGTACTATTAATTGTTCCAGTCCCTTGAAGTCTTCCTCAGTTATATTCATGATCTTGGCATTGCTCAGAAAAAGTTTTGTTAGGGAGCTTGGTAGTTTGGGAGGCACGTGAACAAGACTGTTGAAAGATAATGAGAGCTCTTTCAAGTGTGTAAGGTTTTGAAATGCCCCATCTTCCACAATAAAGTTTTGATTACAATAAAAATAGCAGTTCCAACCCAAATAGAGTCTTTCCAAGTTCCTAAGCCCCAGAGTGTTGTTTTTAGTTACCATAATTATATTGTTTTGAATCAGGCTAAGTTCTGTCAAAGACTCAGGCAGGCCAGCAGGCATAGCATCTAACTGGTTGTCTTCAAGCAGTAACACCTTTAGATTACTTAGGTTAAGGAATGCCCCATCTGTAATATTCATACCATTTTTATTTTCATTTGGGTGCTGTTGATTGGCATTGCGGTTCAGATTTATTTTAGTGAGGTTTTGCAGCTCTTGAAAGGACTCGCTTGTTATGTGCGTGATGAAATTGTCAGACAAGTCTATTTCTGTCACGTATTTGCCTATAGTTTGGGGAACTTCTTGTAGTCGACGTTCATTGCATTCTGCAATCACAAGGGCCTTATGTCTTTTCTCATCACAGGGATAGCTTCTGGAATAATTTGCTTTGAAGAAGGACCCACTGGTTCCAGAGGTGAGCAGGCAAAAGTAGGTCAGAATCCATGGCTGAAGGGACATGTTCTAAGGAAAACCAAAAGCGGAAGTACAGTATTAGAGTGGCAACAGTTGCTAGGCATTTCTTGGTGAAATTAGCACTGCTCCATCATATTCATATGAGCTTTGGGGTGTGAAATGCTACTGATAGTTTAATACATTATATCAAATGAGTTTCAGAATATTTGTATTTTTTTACCTTCCAGGGGGCTAAAAACGTTAAAGATGAAACTCTTTGAGATATGACAGGAAACTTTTGAAGAGGTATTAATCAAGATGCCCCCACCACATTGGGTCTGAGATGAAGCATGGTTGTGGGTAATACAAAGTCTATAGCATGGCATGGCATATATTTTTTTAGCAACAAACTAGTGGTATAATCATTTTTTTGCATATGTAGTATGTATGCACGTGTGTGGGTGCATGTATGTGGACATGTGTGTATTAGTGTCCATGCATGCATGTGGAAGCCAGATATTGACACAAATTTTCTTCCTTTATCACTTCCCACTTTACTTACTGAAGTGAGATCTCTCATGAAACACAAAGCTTACTAATTTGACTAGTCTAGCTAGGCAGCTTGCCTCAGAGATCCAGTGTGTCTGTCTCCCGAGAGCTGGGATTACAGGTAGGCCACCACACTTGCTCAGCTTATATGTGGCTTCTGGGGGCTCGGAACTAGGGTCCTCACACTACACAGTAAGTGCTTTATCCACTGAATTGTTTCTCCAGCCCTATTTGGCATAACTCTTGATAAAACTTTGTCCAGTTCCCAAGAAGAACTCAAGTCTAGCATCCATAACAGTACCATCCAGGACACTTAAGTCGAAGTCATCACCTGCTTTCCATAGTTTTTTAGTTATTTCCTCTGCTGTTTTTGTTCATCTGTGGTGATGACACATATCATTTTTCATAGTTCTTTACATTGCTAGAAACAACAATTGCTAGAACAGCAATTTTCCTAACACTTTTCCCTGTTAAATTAATGATTTCATTTTCTCACATTAAAATAACTTACCCCACTAAAACTCTTTTGGCATTAAGTGTGAGAGGTAAACTCTTATTCTTTTCTTGTTTTGAGATAAGGTTTTTCTGTGTAGCCCTGGCTGTCTTGGAATTTGCTCTGTAGACCAGGTTGGCATTGAACTCAGAGATCCATCTGCCTCTGCTTCCCAAGTGCCAGGATTAAAGGCATGCGCCACCACCACTCGGCAAATTATTCTTCTCTAAATGGAGTGCCAGTTGTCTCAGAATCACTTGCTGAATCACCTGACCCCTGCTTTGCTATGCTCAATGTTCCACATACAACTTTCTTGCACATTTGGATCCGTTTCCAGACTCTCTGATCTGTTTCATCTGTCCATTTATATTAAAAACTAAAATGTGAGTAGGTGTTTATGTGTATAGACGTTTTATCTGCATGTATGTCTGTGCATCATGTGTGCCTGGTATCCTTAGAGGCCAGAAAAGGGTATTGGGCCCCCTGGAACTAGAGCTAGTGACAGTGGTGAGCCACCATGTAGGTGCTGGGAATTGAACCTGGGTGCTCTGGAAGAGTTCTGTCAACCACCGAGCCATCTCTCCCACCCTTGTGAATACTTCTTAAGCAGAGAAAAACATATTCAGCCTCACTCAAAAAATTACACTGATCCCAGTTTTAAACCAAATCTATTGTGCAGATGGACCTGTTATGAAACAGGAACTCTCATATTTTGCTGGTAGAAATACAAGTTAATGCTACCTCTAGGATGGACAGTAGTTTTTAACACCTTTCAAAAACTAGAAGTATATACCTGGAATCAGCAATTTCAATTCTAGAAGTAGATCCTGAAGACATAGCTACACATGCCAATGTCTACGTAGAAAGATGTTCTAAGCAAAACTTTATCAATAGCAAAAGATTGAAAACAATCTAAATTTCTATGGATAGAGGTCTGGTTGAAGTCCTATCACAGAATACTGTATAGAAATGGAAAAAATATATAACAATTTTTATATTCATTCATTCAGCAAATATTTATTGGGTGTGTATTTCATTTCAGGAACTGTTTTCAAACTCAACACTGAAAAAAAAATAATGCCTGCCTATTTGATGTCTATACTGAAAGTTAGAAAGTTAGGTAGAAGATTAGATGGAAGATAGTAAAGATGAGAAGGCAGAGGGATACGTAGAAGGTCCTTCAGTTGTACTTACATGACATTTTTGTTATGATTAGACTGAGGTTATAGGTTTTGGAAGAAAGACAACATTGAAATACAGTGTGTCATTCTAATAAGACTACATGCTATCAACATGACTTTCCCAGTTGATGCAGACCTTGATCATCTCACTGAGAGAGTTTTGGTAAGCTTCCTATTACAACTTGTAACTACAAAATTTAAAAAAACATTATTTTTTAAAGAGGACTATGGGAAACATGTGTCATGGTAAAATCGTATCCCAGACATTTTCCTTTGCAAACTAATAAAGCTTTTGATAGGTAACACATCCTTGGTGAATCAAGAGAACAGGCTCCATCTATTGTGGCCCCACTTCCTTCAAATTAAGATTTCCATACCTAGTTTCAAATACAGTTATCTATTTCATACAAAGCAGAGCAATTGAGCATGAAAAGCACTAGGAACCATTTGCCACCAACAGAGGAGTCTATGGAGAGTTGCTCAAAGTTCCTTCAGGATGAAACCAGTTTCTCACACAGTCTAAAGCAACTGGGTATGAGTTGTGGGTCATGGAAAAAAAGAACTGAGTAAATAGCCTGAAGTTTCTAACACTAGGTTCTCAAAAGGCACCGAGAAAAAACATGAGTGGACAAATTCCAAATAGCTGAAATTTGAAAAGTGCATCGAATGGTGAGCAGTGGAGAGCAAGAAAGTTGAGGAGAAATGGTTGATTGACCAGTTGATGCCTTGACACTCCACACAGGCCCTCACAGAGTTTCTGTTCATTGTTGTCTTAGTTACTGTCTCTTGCTGTGAAGAGAAACCATGACCAAGGCAGCCTATATAACAAAAGGCCATCTAGTTGGAGGCTTGCTTACAGTTTCAGAGGGTTGGTCCATGATTACCACAGTGAGGAGCATGGCAGCAGGCAGGCGGGCATGATCCTGGGGCAGTACAGTAGCTGAGAGCTTACATCTGATACAAAGTTGTAGGCAGAAATAGGGGGAGATTGGACCTGGTGCGGGCTTTTGAAACTTCAAAGTCCACCCCTAGAGACACACCACTTTCAAGAAGGCCACACCTCTTAATCCTTCCTAAATAGTTTACCAACTGGGAATCAAACATTCAAATTTATGAGGCTATGGGGCCTATTCTCATTCAAACCACCACAATTGCTAATTGCAAGGTACTCAGCTGAAGTCCAGGGAACATCATCAAATACTCCCTGGCAAAGCAGTACCATATCCATCTGGATTTTAGAGGGGCAGAGAGCATAGACACCAAAATAACCTAGCAAAGGCTGCATTTCTTCAGTAAAGTGTTACTGTAAGGGTAGCAAATGGAAGCTGAACACCAGATGAAGTAAGGTAGACTTCTTTTTCCTCTTCCTCCTTTCCTCTCTCTCCTCTCCTGTCCTCTTTCTCTCCTCCTTCCATCTTCCTTTTCTTCCTAGACTCTTTGATCCATTTCATCTGACTATTTGTGCTTGATATATACTTAGTATGTAGAGCCCTCTTATGAACACAGCCTAGTAGAACACGGACCAAAATCTATCTTCTTTTTCCTGTTCCTCTTCTTTCTCTCCTTATTCCCCTCACCTCTTTCCCTCCTTCAGTTCTCTTCTCTCTCTTCTTCTTCCTCCTTCTTCTCTTCTCTTCCTTAATCCTTTCTTCTCTCCTCTCCTCCTCACCCTTCACTCTCCTTCCCTCCTTGACATGTTAGAGATGGAATTTAGGACCTTACACATGCTGGGGCAAGTGCTCTACCACAAATTCATGTTCACCATAGTATAAAACACATATGAAATGATAACTATGAGAATAAAATAGAAAAGCAGCAACTTTTCCAATAAAACACAGAAATGCAATAATGAAAATAAAATATATAGAAGCAGACAGACAGAGACAGACACATACAGAGATGGGAAAATTCCATGGAATAATTTTCACCATAGAAACCTGGGAAGGTTTGGAAGCTGGGAAGCAAAGGTATCTCAGGGGAGGCAGACCAGTGGATTGGTTAAGAGTATGAATAAGAAGTTAGACTGGGGAGTGGAGAAAGGACCCAGTGGTTAAGAACACTGGCTGCTCTTCTAGAGGACCTGGGTTAAATACCCAGCACGCACATGGCAGCTTATAACTGTTTCTAACTCCAGTTGCAGGGGATCCAACACCCTCCTCTGGCTTCTATAGACACTGAATGGAAGTGATGGGCAGACATACAAGCAGGTATAACACCCCCATATAATATATATATATATATATATATATATATATATATATATATAATGTTATGTATATATTATGTCATGACATACATTTTATGTTAGATTGTCCTCATTCCACCCCTTACCAAGACTTACAGTCTGGAATGGTGAAATCCAGGAGTCTTAGACAGAAGTCAAGGCCAGTATGAGCTACTGGAGAGAGAACAGGAAGAGATAGAGGGTTAAAGAATGCTCTGCCAGTAGAGTACAGGACACCATACTCATTCCATGCTCAGCTCTGGGAACTCTGGCATCTGTCTCAGTGATGAACATCCACTTCAGCAGCCCGGGCAGGAAGCTGCATGGACTCACTTTGGGGAAGTAGGGTCTGGATCAAGATGAGGCTAGGGAGACACATGTCATAACTACAAAATGATAGGGAACCTTGAAAACAAAATGTGGTCAATGAAAATCCATGATGGACAAAAAAGCATCTTTAATAAGGGCAAGGCCTCATTTGCTCCCCTCACCTTGGCTCCAGTTCCAATAGAACATTCTACACACAAACAGGTATGGGTTGAGGGCTGAGGCTTGCTGAGATTTTTTATTTTCTTTTTTGTTTTGAGATAGGTTCTCAGTCTGTAGCCCAGACTGGCCT